GTACAACTAGCTACTTGTACAACATTAGTTATTGTCTAATTTAAGTAGCATTGTAAAAGACAATAAAGTTAAAAGAATTACTCTTAATCTCTTAATTAGGCTTTATAATAAAGGTATTTATATTTAATTTATCCAAATAAAGTATTTAATTCAATATTTAAAAAAAATGTTATTAAACTTTTATGCACAAAATCAGTTCATTTTTAAAAAAATACTTGTTTAAGATTTATAATTTTCTCTATCAAAGTATTTCTTTAAAAAACTTGCTTTAAATAAAATCGATTAAGATAATTAGTAATATTGATATACATTTTAGTTTATTTTAGCTAGTAATAATAATAATTACATATTTATGAAATTATTATTTTCTTAAGTGAATTTACAATAAAATTTTTAAAACTGAAGCAGTATCACATGATATATAACTAATCAAAATTAATATAAATCATGTGATTATACTCAATTCTTAAAAATTCTATTTTATATTTTTTTATATCAAAAATTCTATTTTATTCATATCTATATATATATATATAAACTTTTCTGTATTCTTGCCTATAACTATGGTTTCATCAGCATGATTAGCAGGTCTAAGGCATCTGTATAATCTGTTATACAAAGAAATGCAAATTGGTATCAGATGGTGCAAACCTAAAATAAGTTTTTGGGCTGTGTAAATCTGTAAAACTAAGCCAGAGCTCACTTAGAAATTTCAAGCAGAGAGGTAACATAGATCTTTAATGATACTACTGTAAAGGCTAAATTTAGAAAATAGATATCAATATGGAGGAATCAAACAGACAAGAACCTCAGATAAGAGATATTACCAACTAGGCTGCTGGATTTTGGACTAAAGAAAAAGGATATTGGACCAGTTTCAATATATTAAGGACAAGTTATAGTCCTTTCAAACTATCTAGATTGGGAGTTTAAAGTCAAAGCAGAGGTATACTAAAAGTACTAAGAATATGCTATGAAGTTAGCATCAGGGTTTAAATAAACTCTATAAGAATAATTTTTGTTAGTGTTCTAAAAGTAAATAGATAGTTAATAATAGGAGACTACTTGCATCTTACTGGCAAGTAATATACTTTGAAATATGTAACAGCCTAGGAACTAGTACAAAAAGAATAAGTACTATACTGCTTAGACGATATATTAGTTAGGTATATACAAGAGGTTAGTTAAGATTACATCATGACAGAGCAGATAATCAGAAGGTTTAAATAAATAATCTTCTAATAAATTATAAGTATGCCATCTAGTATAGAACCTTAAAATGGACTACTTAAATAGGCAACTAAAAGTTGCATATATAACTAGTTGTACTCTCATCTCTGTAAAAATAGTTGTAATAACTAATCTAATAAAAGTCAATAAAGTATTATCACAAAGTATAGTCTTTAACAAAAAATAAATAAAATATATAGTCACAAGAACTTATTTAGTATTTGTACTGTCTAATTTATTAGTTTGTATTTCTTTGTATAACAAGTTATACAAATGCTTCATAACCTGCCAGTCATGCTAGTATGATTGCTATTACAAATATTCTAATCTAATTATTAATAACAGTTGCTATAATACGAATATTATATAGGTAATTATCCAAATTTTTACTGTCAATAGAATTTGAACACTCAACATACTACTTGAAAATTAATAATCTGACTATTTCACTAGGTCATCACACTTTTTAAATTATGTTTTTTAGATTTTATTAGTATATCATATATTACTGAATAGAAGCAACCAAAATTTTTTTAATTTTTATAGGCCAAAAAGAGAGAGTAGCTTCTATTTGAGTTCAAAGATAAAAATTATGCTTATTCATGTGATAGATTTCAGCCAATTAAATCACAATAAATAGAGAGATATTATTGGCTAGTTAATTATATAAAATTAGTTAAAGTTAAAAGATTCTCAAAAAAAGATCTTTATTATAAAGCTTATTTGCATATTCTTGTAAACTATCATTGATATTAAGTTATTGATCAATATTATAGAGTAAATCATTAATTATTTTAAATTTATATATGATAGAAGCTTTATTTATAAATAAATACTCATATAATAATAAACATTTTAATTAGTTGTTACAATAAAAAAAAATTTATATAAACTTGAAATAAGCATGCTTATGAAACAAATAATGAATACTAGCATTGGAATTTTTTAAGATAAGAGATGTTCATAGAATAAATAATGTTAGATATTATTATCAATATGAAATTTGACTAAAGATAAAAGACTTAACAATATACAGAATGATTTGAGATTTTAAGGCAAAGACAACAATAGAAGTATATAAAGATACTAAATATTACATTTAGTTTATTCATTATTGAAATATATGAAGACAATTGGAAAATAAAAACTAACTACCTGACCTATAGTATAAGTGAAAGTGTTGTCTTATACAATCAGTTACTATCATAAATCTTATCTTTAACAATATCTGTTAATCTTAACAATAAACTAAATCTGTAATTGATTATTCACCTAAACATGTTCTAATTTATTTAACTAGCCTCATATTTTGAGTTTTATTTAAAGAATATAAAGCATATTAGTAGGTATAAATATATAATAATGACAAAAGACTTAAATGCATACTTTTCTTATTTAGACTAATTCTTTTTTACAAATGCCAATTTAGACATCTGTTTATACTATCTGTAATTTAATCAAGGGGAATTTATAAAATATCATGGTGATTATAATGCAGTAATAAAATTTTTTTTTCCTTTATAATTTTTTTAAATATTAGAAAAAGTTGCTACAAAGAAGATTTATCAATTATATACTATCTAAAACAAAGCTCATGTTGTTTGATATGCTCTTTACATAAGTAATATTAAGGCTGCTATAAAGTTTAGCTTAGTTAAGTTCTAAGTTGGCTGTTAGGTAGTGCAACTGTAAGACAAACTAAATAAAATTAAAAATAGCAAGTCACATCATCTTGAAGATGCTAGTAGAAAGTGCTTTTTTTCTGAAGAAGAAGCAAGACTTTATAGTTAGATATCCAAAATGCATAAAGTAGCACTTGCTGTAACATATAATAGCCTTAAGTTAGAAATGCTAAGAATTGTCTCTGAAGCTGCTTCAAAAAGCAATGATCTTACAAAAAAAAAACTTGCAGACAACTTTAAAGCTTCTTCAATGTAGACAAAATATTTTTTAAAATATTATAATCTTGCTTTATATTAAAAAACTAAAATCTTACAAAAAATGCTTGCAAATCTTAAACAAAAACTGCTTAATTTTCAATAATATATAATTAAGTTATATCAAAAAAAAAACTACTCTCTAAGCAATATAACAAACATGAATAAGACTTCTATCTGGTTTAACATAGCTGGTAATCTTATTGTTAAACAAATTGGTACCAAAACTGTTCATATTCACACAACTGATACTAAGAAGAATTATTTTATCATAGTTTTGACATGTTTTGCTAATAGATGAAAGCTCTCTTTTACAATTCTGTTCAAGAGTCAAAGATGGACTAAGACTAAACCTTTTCCTTCTTCTGGTGTGGTTGTATCTTTTTATAAAAAAGGATAAATGGACAAATTGGACATATTAGTTTGGGCTAATAGTTATATTGAAGATTGTTTAGATAGTCAAAAAAATAAGTCTTCTCTTTTAGTATTTGACTTATTTAAAGCACATCTTACTAATCTGATTAAGACAAAGTTACATAAAAACAATAATGATCTGGTTGTTATTCTGAGTGGTTTAACCTCTGTGTGCCAACTTTTTGATATTTCTATTAATCATTCTTTCAAAGTAGTACTTCATCATTACTGATATATGTGGATAACAAAGAGTAGTTCTAGCAAAACCAAGAAAGGAACTTAAAACATGCAGAATTACATACTATTTGTGAGTAGGTACTTGCCACTTGGGCAGAAATTGACCCTAAAATTGTTTGGTGTGCCTTTCATAAGTGCTCTATTTCTAATATGATGAATAGATCAGAAGATAATGAAATATATTGGGATAAAATCTTTAGTAATAAAAGTAAAGAAATTAGCCAAAATCAAACCTATTATGTTTCTGATAAATATAATGTTATTATAATTGATTCTAGTAATAATAAAGAAGACCATGATGCAATTATTGAGAAAGATGCAATTATTAAGAAAGATGCAATTATTAAAAAAGATGCAATTATTGAGAAAAATAAAGAAGTTCTTGTTTTTACAATTGATTAGCAAAGAATGATTAAAGTTTTATAATAGTGTAATAAAGTTAAGAATAGTTTTACTCTTGAGCTATTTTAAGATTTAATAATATATATTTTTTTTTTAGTATTATAAGTAGCAATCTTGCCTGTCTGTCTTTTATTGAGTAATATCTGATTATTAATTAATACAAAGTTTATCAACAAAAGTATAACTAGTCATATATATAACTTTAGTTATTATCTAATTAAGAGTTCTACTTAAGGGTTATCCACTAGCTATCATATCTAAGATCTACCTATAAATCCCTTATTTAAACTTTCTGATTTTTGATCTTATGCATTACAACCTTCTATTACTATATAGACATATCAGATTAGGGCTATCGAATTACTATTTATATTAAGGTATTACCTTATTGGATATTACCAAGTATCCATAGTCTTTTGAATTTACTTTTGATGCAAACTTACTAAGTATGGTACTAAAATTACTCTCTTAGATTTTATCTATATTAGTATATCCTGTATTCACTAAACTGGTTTTGGTGCCAGAGGTGTTTAAGTTTTAGTAAGTTTATTTTTTTCCTATAGTTTTCTTTTATATTTATAGTATCACTTGCTAATGCACCTTTTCTCTATTTCTGATATATTTACCACTTCTCTCATATCGAGTGTCAACTTTCCAGATTGAAAAACTTCTTTTTAGAAACTTCTTTATATACTAATCTTCTATTCACATAAACTTAAGCTATAGGGCTTTACATACATTTATATGCTTTCATAGATTACAGAGGTTTGTCTTCAGCTAGAATTGAACTATCAACCTTGTCTGTAAAGAGAAAGGTGTCTAAACTACTAGGCTATAGGACCTTATTTTCAGATTTAACAATATTGTTTTAAGAAAAACTACATTATATAGACAAAGAAAAAAAGAATCAAATAATGCATATTCCAGTAATTAGAATTAGATGATTTTTATAGCATTCAATTTTTCTTTCTAAAAAGAATTGACTATTATAAAAATCATCATTTTAATTACTATATTATAAAAATTTTAACTGCCCAACTTGCTATTAGTGCTTATTAACTATTATGTAAAGAGCTTTGCTTAATATAACATTATATACAGATAACTTTTTTATTTAAAATATTTTTACTCTATTTAAAAAATGTGTAAGTTTTATTGAATTAGATAATTTATATATAAAAAAAATTTCGAACTATATTACGAAACTTAATTTTAATATGCATAATGCTAAAGCAATTTCAGATCATATTTATAGAATCTGTGCTTAGTTATGCATAATGTAGATTATGTGTAATATATTGTACTACATTACAATAAATTTTCAATCAAGTTAAAATTATCATCTCAAAAAAAGTTTTAATTATTATATGATAAGTATATCAAGCATCAAAAAGTCATTTAACTAGAACAAACAAAATTTATAAATTAAAAAATAATAACAATAAGCAATAAATTATTTATTTTATTATTTCAATAAACATAATATTTATTACAGTCAGAAAATATTATTATTCTGATTTTTCTAAGTATTTAGAATATTCTATTGCCTTTTAAAATAATTATAATCCTCTTCCAATTTATGCAATAGCTCAAAATTTCTAACATCGATCTATTTGTTACTATATATTTGGATTTATATTTTCTTCAATAATTTTTTGTTGCATTCTGAATTCAGAATTATAAAATTTTTTGCTTAAATAAATAATCAGAGTTATAGTCTTCCAGAAGAGTATTCAAAATAACATTGATAAGATTTTTTAGTATAATTGCATTTGGCTAATTAGTTTTTATAATTTTATTTTTTTTCAATTATTATTAGTGAAAATTTGGTTACAATGAATAATGTATATTTTTAGAATATTTGTGTTATTGGATTTAGGTTTTTAAAAGATTGAAACAATTAGTTTACATTTTGAAACAATCAGTTTATATTTTAAAGAATCTAAGAAAACAAAATCATTTATTAAATCAATTAATATTTTATTATATACTTTTTTGAGTAGTGATTTTACCTCAGTATATACTAGATTTAGTAACACAAATATTTAATATCTTTTACAAAGGGCAAATTTTTAGAGATTATAGTTTATAAGACCTTTATATCTAAAATTTTAAAAAAAGTTTTTTTTATTATGGATATACTAAATAAGACTAACCTATAATTTTAAATCTGAAAAATGCTATATAGCAAAATTAGAATTGTATTTACTGATCAGAGACAACTAATATCAAAAATATATATTTTTCTTTCTTCATACTCAAAAATTTTTTGAATTTTGATCTGCATGTGCTAAAAGTGTATATGCATATTTTGTGCCAATTCTCTCAAAATAACACAAGGATAATTATGATAATATCTGATACAAACTAGATCTCTTATTAATATAATGAACTATATTCTTGTCAAAATATACAATAATATTTTAATATTTATATGTATAGCAATTCAAATTAGCACAAATTATGCAGTTATATATATAAGAACTAAGCAATTTTTTTCTATAATATGTAAAGTCAGTATTGTATTAAACATTTAATAAAATAAACAAATATAGTAACTAATTAAAATTAATTAGCTCTCTGTTTCACAATATTCTGTACTAAATTATGTAGTTTTTAGATTACTTTTTTTTTTTCTTGGCAGCATTTCATGTGGATCCTCATTCTCTTTACCTAATAGCTGTCTTTCTTTTCTTTTTTGTACTGATATTACTTGAACAGATATTTTTTACTACTTCGATTTATTGCAGAACTACTTGCATTAGGGGCCTGCAAATTGCCTATTTTTGAGGCCTAGCCTGGCCTGCAATTAGGGTTAAAAATTTTTTTTAGGCCTGGCCTGGCCCATATTTAGGGTTATCATTTTTTTGCTAGCCTAGCCTGGCCTGCATATGTTAAATTTTTTCTTCAGCCTGGCTTGCAAAAATTTCTTATATAATTTTATAAATTTTTAGGCCTATACTGGCCTGCAATTATAAAGTTTTGCAAATTTTTTGGCCTGACCCAGCTTGCAATTATAAAATTTTGCTTCAGGCTCAGCCTGGTCTGCAAAAATTTGTGAGCCGGGCTGGGCCAGGCTGCAAGACCCAATGCAGGCCTTTACTATGAGTATATCAATAATTATATAAATAAATTATTCAGATACCAATAAAAAATGAATATTTGAATAAATTTTAATATGGATATATAGATGAAAGATTTATTTATATTGAAACTCTATATAAGTTGATTTATTATATTTTCTGACAGTTTATTAAAATAGCTAATTTGATCTAAACTTAATTATTGATTAATTAGCTGATTTCTACCAAATGTTATTAGTAATTAACTGTTGATTAGCTACCAATTTGCTTTGTTATTTGTATAAATCAGTAAATAATTGATGGTTAAGTTCAAGATGAATCAGCCATATTAATTAGTAGTTATATTTGATTAGTGTAATGAAACAAATCTGCCTAAATTAGTAAATCTATTTGCAAATCATTACATAAATTTTTCTAGCAGTTAAAATTTTATAATAATAATAATAAAGCTTGTAGCTTCTAAATTTAAAATATACCTGTTATTAGAGTTCTAATTATTATCTATTTATTTATTTATTTATTAAATACCTAATTTGAATATCTATAGAAATCCAGTTTATTATTAATATCAGTCATAGATTAGAAATAGATATCCAAATAAATCTGATATAGATATAAAGATAGTGAATTGGAATACTATGTTATTATAAATAAAATATATTTATATAATACTGCAAAAGAAAAATATATACTTCAAAATTTAAATCATAATTTACTGACCTTATATTATAATATTAGTACTAAAGTTATTTTAATTTAAATACATATTTAAATAAATCAAGTATTTAATAAATAAAATATACTTATTTTGCTAATATAGTGCTGTCAATACATCTATTTTATATAATGATTTAAAGGTTGATGTAATTAAGTATTTAATAATTATATACAAGTTTTTATCTAATCAAATTACAAATAAATAACCAATCACTGTACTGATTTATGCAGATCAAAAATTCTATTTTATTATTAATTTATATAGATAAGTAATATATATTTCTATCTAAATTACATAATTTGTATTGCTTACAGCATATTTTTAAAAAATTCATGCATAATTTTACATATATGGCTTTATAACTCAGACAGATTTTGAAGTTTGTCATAAAACATGAAAATTAAATTATTACATAGAAACTATTACAGTAATAATTACATGTGATATGTTACTAATTATTTTTATTACACACTTTGTTTTGACATATTAAAATTTTTTTAGATCTAAAATATAAAAGAACAAAAATGATCAGATCATAACTTTTGTGCAATACTCTTTCTTTTTCTCAAAAGTAAAGAAAAAAAACAAAAGTTTATATTATTTTTCTTCTAAATAAAAAATGCTTACTATTTTAAATCTTTATAGCCAATACTACTACCATCTTATTTTAATATGAGCCATTCATATTCTTTCAGTATTTTTTCTTCTTTACTTGCACAAAGCAGAAATTATACTAGTGATAAAGGTAATATTTTGATTATTATATAATTTTATATATTGAATAAAGGTTTGTAGCATATATGCATGTTAGGCAGCTTATATACATATCAGCTAAATTTCTATGTAGCCTTTTTTTGTTAAGCAAATAAATGGCTTTGACTTTTTTTTTTATAATTGATGAAATAAAAGCACTAAGAGATAAGATAAAAAAACTTGGCAATAAAATTGATAATTTCACAAAAAGAAATGAAAAAAGTGCCTGTTCAACATCACCCAATAGCAACAATAGCAACAATAGCAACAATAGCAATAGCAATAACAGTAGCAACTATAGCAGCAATGAGAGTAGCAGCAACCACCACAATAGTAACTATTACAACAGCAGCAACAACAAATGAAGAGGAAGAAAATCCTTTAAAAAAAGGCACCAAGGCCTCTTACTAAGAACAAAAAAGTCATTAAAAGTATGTATTATAATT